TTGAGTCCTGGACCTGGCAGCTTGCTTTCTCACTTTTCTTCTCTCTCTCTCTCTCTCTCTCTCTCACTGTGTCTGTCTTTGGTCAAATTAAAATAAAACAAATATATAAATAAATAAAGTTAAATAAAATCATCTTTAAAAAAAAACAGAAAAGAAAATACCGAATACAATGTAAATGCTGTGTAAATAGTGGTTACACTGAATGAGGGGACTTCAAAAAGCTCGTGGAAAATGCAATTCAAGTACGAATTTATCTGGATGCAAAAAATGTTGAGATTCTGGGACCAGCAGTTAGCATAATGGCTATGTCGCTGAACTCCCGCGTAGTCGACGGCGGTTCGTGTCCCAGACCCAGTGGCTTAAAACTCAAGCCGGGCGCGTGTGCATGCGTGCCCAAGATCCCAAGAGGAGAATGGAGGAGAAGGGATTGCGGCATGGCCATCCCCCCGGGGGTGATTTCTCGCTTTCTGTCTCTCTGTTTCTCTCTGTCTGTCTGGCGAGTGCACGCGCCCTATAGTAAAAACCTCTCAAAAAAAAAAAAAAAGTGTTGAGATTTATGCAGAGTTTCCTTATAATATGCATTTCCTCTGAACTTTTTGGAGTCCACTCATATTTTTCAGGAAATAATGACAAGGAGAATAGTTGGCACGTCGATACAGGTGAAACCATCACAGACCCAACATGTGGCATGTAATCCCCGGATGGGGACGTCTACCCTACGGAGGGCCGACTGCATCAGATCCCCTACGGGTGCCCACAGGAAGCTCTTAACCCAGAGCCTGTTTCCTCTTGTTGCAAGGAGAGATTAAACACTTGTAGAGAAATATCAAACACAAAGTAGGAATCATTTTCTTTTTGTTAAATAGCAAGTGATTCCTAGTCGCCATACAGGAAAGTGATAGTGGGGCCAGCAGATGGCGTAGCGGTTATGTCGCTGGACTCCCATGTGGCCAGCCACAGTTCAAGTTCTGGACCCGGTGGCTTCAAACTCATGCCAGGCACATGTGCAGTCATGCCCAAGACCCCAGGAGGAGAATGGAGGAAAAGGGATTACCGACTGACCATCCTTCCACGGGGTTATTTCTCACTTTCTCTCTCACTGTCTCTGTCTCTGTCTCTCTCTGGTGAATGCATGCGCCCTATGGCAAAAACCTATTTAAAAAAAAGTGATAGACCATTTCTGTATGAAATAAACATAAAAGATGATTGAAAAGAGAACAACTTTCAGGGGCCAGATGATTGAGCGGAGGTAACAATACTTTCTGCAAGGCTGACCCACATGAGAAGGTTCTTTGTTCAAGCCTGGAGAACTCCCTAAACATGTCAGACATGTATGTATCTGTGTTCCAGAGTGGCTGAGGCTGGGTGTGCATGGTGGCTTGGGGACCCTGTTGGGGTGCCTTTCTCTCTGTTTCTCTTGTTCATGAAAGAAATTTTTTAAAAAAAGGGGGGGGGGACAAGCAGGTGGCATGGTGGTTAAGGTGCTGGACTCTCACATGGGTGACTATGGTTCAAGTTCCAGATCTGGAGGCTTGCTTTCTCACTTTCCCCTTCTCTTGCTATCTCTCTCTCTCTCTCCCTCCTCTCTCTCCCTCTGTCTCTTTGGTCAAATTAAAAATTAATAATAAATAATAGGGACCAGCAGTTGGCATAATGGCTATGTTGCTAGACTCCCATGTAGTCGACCGCAGTTCGAGTCCCAGACCTGGTGGCTTAAACTCATGCCAGGCGTGTGTGCGTGCATGCCCAAGATCCCGAGGGGAGAATGGAGGAGAAGGGATTGCGGTGTGGCCATCCCCCCTGGGGGGTGATTTCTCACTTTCTGTCTCTCTGTCTCTCTCTGTCCTTCTGGCAAGCGTACGCACCCTATAGCAAAAACTTTTCCAAAATAAATAAATAAATAATAACAAATAAAATTAAATAAATAATTTTTAAAAAGAGAGAGAAAAAAGACAGCTTTCTCTCTGTGATCCCATCTTATCCAAGTCCCTCTAAAAGTCACCTCTGTACCCCAACTGTAGAGATCCAGACCCTGAGAAGCTCTGCACTAAAGGTCACTAATGAATGCACCTTTTCATTCGGTCACTTGGAAGGAGACATTCACGTATGTTCTGTGTTCTGGAAGAAATGGCCTATAAGGTTTCCTTCCAACTCCAAGACTCTACAATGGGCATAAATTACTGTGTGCATATATACACATGTGTGTGTATTTGTAGCGTACATGTATGTATAATTTACATGGTCTTAAGAGAAATTTTTGTGGGGCCCGCAGGTGGTGTGGTGGTTAGGGTACTGGATTCCCATGTGACTGACAATAGTTCAAGTCCTGGAACTGGCTATCTCACTTTTCTTCTCTGTC